AAAAACCCCGATTACACCTCTTAAGGAATTGTTTACGAGCCTGAGTACTGCTGAGTGTAATACTATTCATGGATCAAGATTTATCGTTTTTTCAGCACAAAACTCACAATAATCATGGGCCCATATTCCACACCTTGTGAGTTCAAGTAGAGCACTCGAGTGCGTGAACACTCCAAACATCATGTTGTGGGCATGGGCACACAACCTAAGCATGGATGTTTGACAAATATCTAACCCTTCTTTCGACCCGAATGGTGTTTCTAAGCCCAATCTTAAAAGATGCGTTTGGTTTTCTTAGACACTTGTCTTTTTTTTAGAGGATGTTTGAATAGAAAGTAGTTTTGGCTTTTTAGAGAAAAAAGTATGTTTTTATAGCTTTTAGAGATGTAGTGTGTGCTTAAAAAGTATTGTATCTTTGACAAAAAGCCATCACACCTCCAAGCCAAACACACCCCTAGTCTAATAACATGGTTTGTTGTTTTTGGGACCAATTAGTGTCTCAAGTCTATCTAATTCTTCCCTCATCAATGCGTATAAGAGATATATATTTCTTGTAAATGTTATTATTATTTTTCAGTCCTTTCATTCAAGAAAAAAAATAAGATTCAAGAATTATAAATATTTTTTCAACTATCCTGATAAAAAAAATAATTTTTTATATTTAAAAAACATAAATTCAATTGTTCTTAGAATTTAATGTTTTTTAGCATGTTTATTACTTCTTTTCTAAAGATGAGTAAAAAAATTAAAAAAATCATAAAATTAAAAAAATAATTAAAAAAACTGAACTATAAAAAAACAGATTAGAATTTAAAAAAAAAAATCTGTTTAGTTTTGATTTTATAAACCTGAAATCAAAAAAACCAAACCGAACCTAAACCGAAAAAACATAGCCAAATCGAAAAAATCAAGTCAAATTAAAAAAACCAGTTTTTGTTCTAAAATAATCAAACCGAAACCGATCTGTTTAAACCAGTTTTGGTTTTTTTAAAAAACCTAGTTTGATTACTTTTTTTTGATAAAAACTTAACCGAACCAAAAATAATCATCCCTATTCTTTTCTCAAATCCTCAATAAAATGATTTTTTTAGGTATCCAAAACATTCATCAAGATAATTTACTTTACATTAGAAAAAAGAGTTATTTTAATATTTGATTAACTCATAATCCAATCATCAAAAAACCTTATTCTATAAACATCTTGAATTTTAAAACTCGTCAACTAACTATATTAACTAGTGGTTTGGGTAGGGTTTTATACTAGTAGTTATTTATTATATTTTAAAAATTAAATCAAGCATGAATTTATCAACTTATCAACCTCTCTTGTAAAACTGACATCAATGGAATCACATTGACAACCACTAAACTCCCATACCAATCAAGTAGTTGATAAGAAAATAAAAATCGCAGTCCACATTCTAAAAATTCCATACCAAGTTCTAAGATCCATTTTTCCAACCAACGATAAAAACATTGTCTCGGGCCCATAAGACATCATGTCCAAGACCCAGTGAAGTTTAAGGCTTGTCATGCCTTCACCCACATCACATGCACAAGTTATAACCTCGAGAAGCCCACCCGCTTCCATACCCTTCCAGAAAGTACCAAAAAGGAGTCTTTACCATCTTCTAGCTTTTATACTGAACATGCTTTACCTTCAGACATATACATCGTCTTCCTACTCACAATTCAAGACACCAAAAACCATGTCAATAGTTCCAATTGGAAACCAGGATGGCACAATCACAAATCCGTCCTCTTTAAACTCATGGGATCCTGAAGATTTCTTCACTTCACTAGACCTTTGGGACCCGTTTCAAAACTTTCCATTCCCTTCCGTACTTTCCACTCCATTCCCTTCATTTTCAAGGCAAACCAAGGTAAACTGGAGGGAAACATCAAGAGCCCATGTGTTTAGAGCTGTGTTTCCTGATTTTGGCAGAGAAGATGTGCTTGTTTGCATTGATGATGATAATATGCTTCAAGTAAGCACCCAGGATGGTAAGTTTATGAGCAAGTTTAAGTTGCCTGATAATGCTAGAAGGGATCAGGTCAAGGCTGATATGGTGAATGGTGTGCTCACTGTTACTATTCCTAAGGAAGAGGTTGCCAGTTATAGGCCTAATGTCAGGGTTGTTGAGATCGAAGGTTCTGGCTGAAAATAATGTAATAATTAAGGCCTATAATGTAGTTTGTGTGTGATGAAGCCGTAATTGGAGATTGTATGAGGGTGATGGTATGGCATGTGTGTCTTTTTGTTTAGCAAGTGTGCGCAATGTAATGACTATTGTCCTTGCAAGCTCAACAGTGGCTTGGTGTTTGTGTTAAATTATAAATCCTGTGATGGTGTGTGATGTAAAGAATGGAATGTAATTCTATCCTTACCTAGGAGATTGAATAATTGTTCATCTTGAAAATCAAGATTTCCTTATGGGTTTTATCAATTTAGTAAAAAAAATTGTAAATCACAATCTCTTAGCTGTTGGCTTGCAGGTTGGTTTGTCATGTTATTATTATACTCTGGGTTTTTTTTTTTTTTAGGAGTTATTAGCAATGACATTTAAAAAGAGTGGTGTTCGGTATTTTTTTATTTTTACCTACATCCTTGGAAGAAAATAAATTCCTTAGTTTTAGGAGTATTTTATCTTTTTATTTTTATAAATCAAAGTCTTAAATGCCCTTAAAAAATAATTTTTCTTAACTATGGACACAAAAACACTCTGGGTATTTTGCTATAGTTTTTGTTTTTATTATTTTTATATAGCTTAAGGAGTAATTATATATAAAAATTATTATTTTAATTCAAAAGTGGTTGGTGTGGCATGTGACTTTTTGTTGGTTTGTGTGGCATGAACACCAAATACCATCATCTTTCATGGCGGCGTTTGATGCATTTTATCGTTTTTATCACAGTAGTGAGGTGCGTGTCTGCATTTGAAACTTGGCAAAGTTTTGGCAACATGTTTCTCCCTCCATTTCTTTTTCTTCTTTCCTCTACTAAAAAACATGTTGATCGTTAAAATAAAATAAAATGGTTATTTAGTTGTTATGTAGGTTATTATTTTTTTTGTTCCAATATATTTAGTCATAAATTATTTATTAAGCTATTTTATTTTTTATTTTTTAATATTTAATTTTTATATTACATTTGATTTTTGTTGTTTTAACTGTAATATATGTGATCTTCAATTATTTATTGATTATTTTTTAAAATTTTATTTTTTTATATTTGATTTTTTCATTAGGTTTGGCTCTTATTTTTTTTAATTGTGATGTATTTAATTTTAAATTACTTATTTATTTATTTATTTTTTCAATTTTATTAATTAACATTTGATTTTTATATTAAATATAGTCTTCATTTATTTTATTGTTAGTTTTATTTGATTTTATCTTCTTCTTAATTAAAATTATTTTTTAATTACATTATTTATAATTTATTTTATTTTTATTTTGTGTCAAATTTGGTTGTTTTCCTTTTCAAATTTATATTTTTTAATTATTTTTTAAATTTATTTCTATAAGTTTATTAAAAATTAATTTTTTTTAATTCATCACTTGGCATTTGATTATTTACATCTTAACTTGATTGTTTGTTGCATTTTTTTTATTGAGTTGTCTTAATTTTATATCTCAAGTATCAGGTTAGTTAAATTAACCATTGTTGTTTTAGATATTTTTTTCATAGTTGTTCTTACTAAATTATTTTTTCTTAATCTCATACCGTGGATAGTGAGTTAGTCAAATTAATTCAAATTGGCTTGAATTTTTTTCTTGATTTTTTTATTCAATTTCATCAATTTACATTAAATTATTAGCCCTCATGTTTTGTTAATTTTTACCCTTTCTTTTTTGTATGGTTATTTTAAGAGTGAGTTGGTGAAGTTAACACGAGTTGGCTCATTATTTTTTTGATATTTTATTTTATTAAAATTTAGTTTTTTTTACTAGGTATTTCTTTCAAATTTTTTTATTTCAATCTCACATCACTAGTTATGAGTTCATCAAGTTACCTTGAGTTAACTTAGTTTAGTTTTTTTTTTTTACTTTAGATTTTTTGAATGATTTTTTTTGTTTCATCTTTGATATTAGGTTATTATGCTCTGAACTTTATAATTTCTTGTGACTTTTCTTTCTATAGATTCTTTCGATCTATATCTTAAGTAATATTTTAGTTAATTTAACTCGGATTGTCTTGAATTATCATCACTTGGATATCTTTTTTTAACATTTTAAAAAGTTTGGTCTGACTAGCAGTGTAACGGAGGCCATCTATCTAGTTCTTATCAATCATAAAGAGTTTTAGGGTGAGATTATATTTGGGAAACGAATTAACCCATTAAATTAAGCCAATTTTTTAAACATTTGCTTTCTAGATGCGGTATTTTCAGTTTAGTCATTATCTAAGATTATGAGTTTGAAAAGTTAACATGAGTTGACGTCTTTTTCTTTCTTAATTACATCATTTAAAGTTGTTCATTTTAAAAAATAAAGTTTATTATTTTCTTTGATTTTTTTAATCAAGTTGTTGCTATTTTATAATCTAGGCGAGAGGTTTATCCATATGACTTATATTTTTTATGTTATTTTTTTATTTTATTCTTAAAAATTTGATTTTTTTAAAATATTTTTTTTCTATTACATTTTTCTATTTGCATAATATTACTTGTGAATTTTTATAACCTCATTTTATTTTGTTGGTATTTTATTTTTTAATATTTTTTGATTTATTTTTTTTGAGTTTAATTCTTGTAATTTTATGATTTTTTTTATATTTTTTTTTCTGTTCTTTTGAGTTATTGATTTTTTTTTGGTTGGTTCTTTAAAAAACAATAACAATATTTTTGCATTATTTTTGTACTCTGTAAAGAAATGGGCTCGGCCCAACGGTAAATTACAGGGCACCAATCTAGTAATTAATTGATATTTGACACTGCCACCTCAGCACCCTTCAAGCAAACAAGGAGCCCTCTTCAACTTCTATCTATTCCATCCTCTCTTCTATTTTTATTTGAATGGCAAACTGTATTTCAAAAAACACTTCACTTGTTCTCTAAAACTAAAATACTAATTCAAAACCCACCTTTTTTCACATGTATTTTAGATTTTCTATTTTTCTCTAATTCTTTCCTCTCAATCTCTCAACATCGTTCTTAAAAATTCAGAGATAAGCAACGATTGAATGAATGATTCTCTCAGTTCGACGGCTGTGATCGAGAGTTAACACTACAAATCATGTGGTCCTCCTTTTGGAGATCCAGAGATCGTTTCTCCTTGGATGAACTCAGGTTTCTCTCTCTTAATGTTCACTCATTGTTCTTTTTATTTCACTATGTTCTTTTTATTTCACTAATTGTTGTGAAGTTCTCGATTTTTTCTTGTTTATTGCAATCAAGAGTCCAATTCTCTGTCAATTTTTCAAGTTCTATGCACTTTCAAGTCAATTACGTCCATTTTCTCACTTTGTTTTTTTAATTATCAGTAAAAATGTCACTGTCTGCTATTTAATTTGGATTTTTTTGATGAAATTCTAATTTTTAATTTTTGGTTTACTTTGTTTGCAGATATTTAACTGATCAGCTGCAAAAGGTTCAAATTGTAAATAATGTTAATAAGGTAAGCAATTTAGTAATAATCAACCATGAATTTATTTTTTTGTCGGTTTTTTTTTTTTCACTCTGTTAGAACCTGATTGTGTGTTGTTATTAAAGAACTTTGTAATTGAGACGATGAGATCGATATCGGAATTAATAACATACGGAGACCAGCATGATTCGAAGTATTTTGAGTAAGGCTGATTAATAAATTTATAATTTTCTGTGTCGATTGTTAGGTTTCGATGATTGTTTTGTGAATTCTCTGTGTCTTTCCTCTTGCTTTGTAGTTTTTTTATGGAAAGGCAAGTAATGGGGGAGTTTGTGAGGATACTTAAGGTTAGCAGAATTGCTTCCATTTCGCTTCAGTTGCTGCAAACAATGAGCATTATGATTCAGAACTTAAAATCCGAGTGCGCCATATGTAAGTTGGTTCTGGAAAATGTTGGATTTGTTTAAAGAGGTTTGAGGTGCTAGGTTTTTGTTTTTGTTTTGCAGATTATATATTCAGTAATGAGCATATTAATTTTTTGATAACTTATATGTTTGATTTTCGGAATGAGGAGTTGTTGTCATACTACATTTCTTTCTTAAGGTATGCTTTTTTTTTCCTCATTATGGTGCTAGTCAAATGCTTGTTATATCCTTGGTTTCGTTGACTATGATTTTCAAATGGCATGTTTTGTGGTTTGTGAAGGGCAATAAGTGGGAAGCTTGACAAGAAAACAATTTCTTTGCTTGTGAAGACTCAAAATGTAGGTTTGTCTGTCTTTTGTACTTTGTTTATATTGCATGATACAACTGATTTAATTTTTTATTATAAATTTTAAAAGGTAGGCTGGTATTTTTTTTTCAATTTTCCATGCCCCAATGCTTGTGCCTGAAGTTTCAAATAATTCTGCATTTCGATAACAAATAATGATAAAGTTGCGATTTGACATTAGTCCATATTTTAGGAGGGCCATCACATAGCTTTTTTGTGGCCTTATTGATGAGGATTATTCAGTCTGAATGACACTTTCAACAGTCCACTTGAACAGCACTACCTAGTTCCTTTGAGTATTACCTGTTGATGAGAAGTACTGAAACTGAGATTTTAGGGCACCTGGTTGGTTGTAAGTGGTTCAAGCTGGCAAGAAATGCATGGCTTGCTGCCTAAACAGCAACAAACCCTCAATCCCAAACTCGTTGGGCTTTACTGCCTAAATAACGCTTGTTATGTTAGTTCTACACCTTTATTCACTTCGTTTCCAGTTGGCTAATTTAGAAATCAAGCCATCTCTGTGCATGCTGTAGCTTATAGATATTTTCCTCTGCTGCCTTGTTCATGTAGGAAGAAGTTGTTTCTTTTCCACTGTATGTTGAGGCAATACGGTTTGCTTCCCATGAAGAGAGTATGGTTCGCACTGCAGTCCGTGCTCTGACACTCAATGTCTATCATGGTGAGTGGGTGTTATTCTATCCCTGCTCATTTTGATCCTATTGTTTTTCTCATGATGTTATTTTGCAAGCTAAACAAGTTTTCTTCTATTTCCTCTTGGTTTTCAGTTGGAGATGAATCCGTGAATAGATTAGTTGCGAAGGCCCCTCATGCTGATTATTTTTCAAACTTGCTTACAGTTTTTCAGAAGCAGTGCATCTATCTAAATGGAATGGTCTCTGAAACTCTAAAGTAAGAGTACGATAATTAAAACTTTATATGACAGTGAGTTGAAAGTTCTTGCACCTAAATATTGTCCTTTTGTTGCTGAGACAGAAACCCAGACTCAGATACAACCACTGCAATTCTTAATGTTGTGGATGAAATTGAGGACAATCTCTACTATATAAGTGATGTTATTTCTGCGGGGATTCCAGAAGTTGGGAGGTTAATAACGGCCAATATTTTGCAACTTTTGATATTTCCTTTGCTTCTTCCATCTTTGCTGTTGGATGCTGTTGATGTATGAACTTGCTCTTATTTCATGCTTTCATTCATTCCTTAATCTTTCCCTTTGAGCTCAAGGGCTTTTAACAGTTTGTTGATGCACTTTATGTTATACAAATTTTTCTTGCTTAACCTCTGATAGCTTGTGAATTCAGGATATTCAGATTGGTGCTATCACTTCTCTATATTTGCTCTGCTGCATCTTACGCCTAGTGAAAATCAAAGACTTGGCAAATACCATTGCTGCCTCTCTTTTCTGTCCACCAGAGGCTTTTCTTCCAGATTCTGAGACTAAACTCAATGGTCATGCACCTGATCATGGGCATGAAATCCAACAGACAGAAAATAAGAATGTGATTGAGGTGGATGGATGTTCAAAAAAATTCTTGCCGAGCATGTCTAGTTCTTTGCTAGTTCACCCTGAAGATATTATCTCAAAAGGTGTTTCTCGTTTAACTTTGAGGTAAAAGAGCCTAAATTCTGAAGTACAAAGTCTCTTTCCACTTTCCATCTCTTCACTTAAAGTCCAATTTTAGTCTACACTTTGTTTTTTTTTTTTTTTTGGCTCTATGAAGTGACAATAATGTCTTCTTTCTTTAACTGACTATCTCACCAAGAACTGGCTGCCTTCTATATGCTGCTTCTTGACTTGAACAGAACCTTCTGATTTGTTAGCTTTCTAATTTTTCGGCTTCTGTTAGCTATCCCTTCTAATTTTATCTCTATCTTTGCAATACTTCCAGGGATGCTTTACTTTCATATATTACAGCTGGAGATGATCTTCAAGTTTTGAGTTCCTTGAGCATGTTGGCTACATTGTTGCAAACAAAAGGTTTTCTTCTTAGAATTATTCAGCTTCTGATGCTACTGATTTCTGTTGCTGTTATCTTATTGGTATCTCTTTTATTAGAATTAGAAGAAACAATGCTAGAAGCTCTTGGAATCCTCCCCCAGCGCAAGCAACACAAGAAACTCTTGCAGGTAAGTTGTAGATATATTTTTCCCCTCAATTTTGGTAAATGTGGTGGAATTACTTTCTTTTTTTTTGTGTTTTTATTGCTCTTCATTACTGATAAATAATATTCATCTCATATTCCTTGCCGCTAAATTGTGAATTCAATTATGGTTATTAGCTAGATGTTATCAACAACTTTCAGTGATTAACTGTTAGCAGCTCTAAGATAGCTCTGTATTTGTTAAGATAGCATGGATTTTAATTTTATCTAATACCATGGCTTTCAAGATCATGTTGTTGTTAATCTAAACTAATATTTGGTGGAACCTATTATATGATTGGTTAAGGAAGTGAAACTTAATCAGTTTTCCTCCTTTCTGCAGCAAGCATTGGTTGGTGAGGACTCGAGGGAAGATCAACTTTTTTCATCAGGAAGGAGCTTTATAAGAGATGGATTTAGTTGTGAGCTTGATGGCTATCTACAAAATCTCAAGGTAATGATTTCATTCCCTTTTCTCTCCATCAAAAGAAATATTAGCAATGGTGGATCTTGTGCAATGGGAATTAGGAAAAAAATGGAATCTCGGTTATATTAAAATCATGTATCGGAATTGGTGCAATATGTGAAGGATTATAGTATTCAATCAGGAGTTGATATTGATTGCTTATAAGATTATAAATTCAAATTTAATTTAGTTGCAGGGAAGAAGGTTACGTTAGCATCTGTTCGAATTAGTGCAGCTGGTATTGTATTGTGCTGCTGTTGTACCCTGCTTTTTTTTTTTTAATTATTTTTTTTTTTGAGGAAAAAGTAGGGTTTTGTTGTACAGAGTAGCTCGGGTTGATTCAACCACTCCGATCTATCATCATCATCTATACCTAGATGTACAACATCCCTCTTCTATGTGTAATCATACTGTTTCTCTACTTGTATATCCATGCTCAGCAACTATTCTTTTGTAAAAGCATTTATAATTGAAAATTTCATTTACTGTGATTTCCTACACTTCTGTAAAGTTTTTCCTTTTCTAATATTCTTATTACTTCCTATCTTATTTTTGGGGAAAAAAATCCTTTCATTTCCACATGTTGATTTTTCTCTCTTCTATTTCTTTAAATAATATATAACAGGAGCAGTATGGGGTAGCATGCTCTTCCTTGGAGGTGGGAACAAGCCCCTCCGTACATAGATTTCAGGTAAAATTTCTTTTTGGAGTCAAATGTGAGCTCTTTTAATGAATCTGTGGCCTATCAATCTGAATATCTTATGGGTTAGAAATTTCTTTTTTATTGGTTCACACTATGGTTGACTGAGGCAGCAAGAAGAAACAGGAAAAAAGTACAATTTTTTACCTTTCTTTTCTGAAAAATTATGATGTGGAAATTATGTCCTGAAAGCTTCTATTGTTCATACATGGACTGTACCACAAGCCGAATATAACAAGTTGAAGTTCCTCTCACATAGCAGATGGGAATTATGCTTGCCTTTTGTTCATTGTTGAACATTGTTTATTCTAAGGAAAATTGATATGGTTCAAATTCCATTTGGTTACAAAATGTTAATGAGCTCTTCTTTTGGAAGCTGTGCTGTTTGTGCGTGATGCTTGATCAGTCATGAAATGTGTTGTGCAGGTGCTTGATGCATTGGTTAGTCTTTTTTGCCGGTCTAATATATCCCCAGAGACATTGTGGGATGGTGGTTGGCTTTTGCGTCAGCTACTTCTCTATAGTGAGGCAGGATTCAATAACCAGCATCTTGAATTACTGAGAGTAAGTTATACCCCACGGTAGATTGTTTGAATAATGTGTCAATACATGATGACCACAACAGGTGCCAAATGCTGCTCCTAGTTATGAGAGTGCAACATGATGGGACCTTAAATATTTGTTACTTGCAGCCATTATTTGAAACTATGGTTTTATGCTACCAAGTTTCATGATGCATGTCTTACATTTGTGGCTGTTATTTTGTTTCTTTGGATGAACTAGTAATATGATTATTTTGTAATGATTCAGTAGACTTCTCATACACAGGATTCATATAAGAATTGCACTTATGCTCTTCTTGAGGAGGCCAGAGGTACCTGGCCCGATCTACTTGTAACAGTCTTACATGGTGAATGGAAAAGGTGCAAAAGAGGTATTTGGCTGAATTCTTAATATTACAAATGTTTGTCTAAGTGATTGACTGATGTATTTGACAAATAAATTTTGCTCTTGTAGCAATGGAAGCTCCATCTCCCCGGAAAGAGCTGAAGTGCATGCTCTTGCCATTAGACAAGCCCTCCTTTGATGGTAAAGCTATTGCGCAATAGATGTGCTTTTGGATGTTCTTCTCCCATGCGTTGCAGGGTTGTGGGTTTGTTAAAAAATATTCATTCAATTTTCCTATTTGACTGGTAGATGTTCTTCCCAACAAATCATCATTTGTTGCTGGTGAAAGAATGTGCAAGGTGGTAAAGGTTCGTGTTTGCATTTGCATTCTTTCTCATTCATCTATTTTTTTTCTTCTAAGTAGATAAAGCTTAAGATTAAAATAGATAATGTGTACTGATATCATAGTTTCAATGAACTTAAAGGTACTCTCTGTATGTACACATGCATTCACAACTAGTGTATTCAGCTTTTGTAGGGATTCTGCTGTGGTTCTTTCTGTATTATTGCAGTTTCTAATTTCCTTTTCTTTTTTTTCTATTTCCATTTCAGGTGTTTGCACTTCTTCATCAACTTCAAATTTTCTTCCTTGGTAGGGCTTTACCTGAGCAGCCTCCTACTTGTCCTCCAAGTGATATCCCAGAAAATTCCCGTGCAAGAAATGCTGGCCTGGATGTTTCAGGTCCAAAACTAGGCTCTGAGTTGAGACTAGGTCAGTTTTCTATCTTGTCCTTGATATGATAAAATTGATGATGAAGAAACAATGACGACAATGATGGTGAGGGTATATGATACGATGATGGTGCATGATTGAGTTCACGCGGGTTGTGTTGCTTGTATAATTATTGGCTAGATACATGGTAATTCAGCGTATATGACCTATTGCTTCTAACTTCTAAAGTATGGCTTTATTTTCTTGGAAATTTGTTGTGAGAGTCATTTGATTAAATTTTTCTTGGTTAAATCTCTCTGGTCACTGCCATATGCAGTTGATGCTGTGCCTTGTAGGATTGCATTCGAGAGGGGTAAGGAACGTGATTTTTGCTTTTTAGCAATTTCAATGGGTGCATCTGGGTGGATCCTGCTTGCAGAAGAACTACCCATGAAGAAAAATTATGGAATCATCCGTGTTGTTGCTCCTTTAGCAAGTTCTGATGTATGTATGGATTTGTTGTGCCTTCTAGTGCTTAATATTGCTTCCCTGGATAAAAATTATTGATGATATTTTTTGTTTTTTGTTTTTTAGAGCTAGGCATGCATGCACAAACACATTTTCTTCTATACATAATTAAATGTAGCACATATTTCACAGAGCATGCACAACTCGATAATATGACTTACACATTTTTTTCTAATATTCTCACTGTCCTATAAGCTGGGCCTTGGTTGAATGATTCTAATTTCACGATTGCTTCATCTTTCTTGATTTGTGTCTTCAGCCTACAATTGATCAGAAGCATTCAAGATGGTTACACTTGCGAATCCGTCCATCTACTTTACCCTTTTTTGACCCTGCTAAACTCATTTCTCTTGGGAGGGCTAAGACAAAAGCTCCGGTGGATGGGAGATGGACCATAGCATTCATGGATGATGAATCTTGCAAGTCTGCTTTGTCTATGATTCTTGAGGAGATTGATCTGCAAAGCAATGAAGTCGAGAAAAGACTAAAACCATTGCTCAACCATGAAGGAGCTATAGATGTTCCAGACACTTCTCCACATCCTCCTGATGATGCTTCCTCATCAACTGCAACACCTTCTAATTCATTGTAAGTTTCTACTTGGTTTGAGTTCTGAGTGATAGTTTGCTTTATGCTTTGGGTGGGAAAATATTATGCCTTCTCACCCTTCCATATGTTCATATGGAAACAGTAGATATACCCAACAACATAGATTAGTGCCCCAATTTAGCTGTTAATTGTATACAAGCTTCCTTTGCCCTGATTTGTTGTTGCTCTAGGTGGCCTTTCTTTCACATTCTTTAGCCTCTAACCCTAGGCTTCTCTATTCTCTTTTCTAATTTTGTATTGTGTTACATTAATGTATATCTGAGGCAATTTGATAGTAAAAGCTTCATGTTTATTGATATTTAGGACGCGTGTTACAACTTATCTAATTTCTGAATGTTTAACCTAAAGCTTCCTTGATTCTGTGGGTGTTAAACTTATCCTTCCTCCACAACTGACTGTTCTAAATACAGTCATTGTGCTCCTTACATGCATTGATTAGCTAGGTACAGAACACGGTAGATTGCTGTTTGAACTAGCAGCTCAAACTTGATTTGAGCTAGAGACGGCAGTTACAGGCAGGGTTGGCTCACAACAAAACAAAGTCTAGGAAAACTTGACTGGCTTGAATAAAATAGTTGAGTTGCTGTGAGCTGAGCTTAATCCAGAAACTGAGTCACAGGTGACTGAACGCATTATACAAGACAAAAATTGAAATAGATAAATAAGTACCAAAAAATTAATACAGTAGGTTTCTTGCTTGCTATATTGATCTGATCGAGCTCATTCTCGCTAATAATTGATTTAAGCCATACTTTTCCCTTCAATGTAATAAAAACCAAGCCCCACAATTTACTGATAGAAAACAAGAGAAAGGTAATTGGTGGCCAAAATGCATGACTGTTAATACCAGAAGGGAAGTGAAAAGGAAGATGGAATTTGCAAAGCTGCAGGTTTTACATTATCTTCATTATTCATTCATAAAGTGTTCTCTTGCAAGTTCAAGCAGCTGAAGGTTTCATTCTTTTCTCACTTTATCATGTTGGTACCCTGTTACAATTATAATTTGGCAGTAACAGAACTAATGCTTTCCTATTCATTCTTTGTTTTTAGAGGACCACCGATTTGATTTTCCAGAAATAATTATGGCAGTGGAGTTCGGGTTTACATCCCTTTTTTTCATCTGTCTCTCTCCCCTTTCACTTTCTGGGATAGCTTTTGGAGGGGTTCCATTCCTTTGCTGATCTACATGTGGCCATGTATTATTTTCAAGTCCCTATCAGCATTCCTGGTCTTGAACATTAAAGGGTGAATCATTCTCACCGTCCAGGTAAAGCTGTCTTCTTGTGATTGCTGTGTACATGTGGTGAGGATTCACATTTATGGGCAATTTTCAACGACCTAGTATTTAGTTACTTGGTGTTCTTTTCACAAACTAATGTGCCTCTATATTGAGTGGTCCCAGGGTTTCATGCCTTGTATGATAGAAATTGACATGCTTAAATCATTGAAGAATGCTGATTTCACCGAAACTTCCCCCCTGAAATCACCTCTCGGAACTCTCATCCATTCAATGGGCGGCCCTGCACGTAGATCCCACAAATCACTTTGTGGTGGGTTCTTGGTATGGTGGTCTCAGTAAGAATCTTGGGGTAAAATTAGCATTACTCTAAGAAGTTAAAAGGCATCTCTGGATTTCAAGCCTTTTGATTGAAGAAAACGCCGAAGCTTCACTGAGAATCTGTATCAAACTTTTGAGGTTGGGGCGGAACTACAAATTAGAAATCCTTCAGATCTATAAACGAGCTCAGAAATGGTTTTCCACAGGATTAGGAGGGTCTTAGAAGGAACATATTTCTGTAGCAAAATCATCATGAATTGACGGTGTTTAAAGCATGTCAACAATTTAAATTCAAAGATTCTCGTCCATTTGTTCCCCCTTGGTCTCTTGTTTATTTTGACAGGCGTAATAAGCATTTCTGCTTTTTTAGCAAATGCATTTTCCCAGTTGGGATCTTGGATTCTTGAATATTCAGAATTTAGCATTCCGAAGATCACAATTTCTGTTCAAATCGACTCATTCCATTCCAGAAATAATCACAGAAAATCATCCGATCATGTTAATGGCTTTCGATACAAATCTTTACTTCCCAGTAACAAATTCGGTCTCAAGGGAAGAAAATCCTCGTTCCATGAGGCCCGGGCGGAAGGGAAGGGACGGTGGTTCATTCATTCGGAGCCGGAGGAAAGCTTGTTTCCTAGTCGTTTACCGGGGCGGGAAAACACCCCTAAATGGCTTCATCATGTACACCCAACTGAAGAAATACTTGTGCAAAACTTCCTGCATCCATTAGCTCCCCCATTTTTTATTTTTATTATCATGGTGGAAGGTGGACAAGCAAAGATAAAGGCACCACCAATCAAGTCTCATGAAGTACAGTAATGGAGGATGTTAAAAATCGAAACTTGTCTAAATGCAATGGCAAGGAACAAGTGTCCATCATCACTCCCCAATCTTTCTTTAATTAATACGCTAGGACACTCGATAGCTTTTCTAAAGCAGTGCTCATCTGAATTTGAATGCACAATAACAAAAAAGCATATAAAGAAATTATTGTACGTTCTATCATGGGAAGACAGACCCCACTTCCGCCGTTCGATGCAATTATACCTTCGCTTATTATTACGAGTCCTTTAGGTCAAAATAATGATGCTACTTAGCTCAAAGAAAATAAATTTCTTGAGCAGAAAGTGTAGTGTTTGGCTTGTAGTGGAGAGGGGGGCTTCTTTTTGTGCGAAGCCAATCGTGTTTGAGGATGAAATGTTTGATTATATGGAAGGATTGTTCATTATTGTTTCAGTCAAAAGAGGGGATGAGTTGGAAACTAAAAATAATCATGATTAGGATAACTTCTTTAATTAAGAAAACTTTCTTAAGAAGTGAGTGAGTTCCACATCTTCCATGCTAAAAACCTTCCACTTTGTGCTTAATCTTACACTACGAGATGTATATATTAAACTGTTTAGGTTCTTAAGATGTCAATTTCTCATCATTACTCAGGCAATATGGTCTCTCCTTTTCCTTTCTTTTGCTTCATTATTATCTCATTATGATTAATTAAGTTTGTAATGAGGAATGGATCATTGCATGGCGTTTTATATGGAGAAATAATTGATGGGGGCTGAGAATACAGCTCAAGTTGAATGTCTCTACTGCATGATAAGTTGTATTAAGAGAATTAATTAAATGTTAATCTAGTCTAGTGCACTCTCCTGCAAAAATTAATTAGAGGGCAGGTTTCGGGTTGTTGGTATTGTGCCTTCGTTAGTAAACCACAACAGAACAGGAAAAAAAAAAAAAAAACCTATCTTGCAAGAAGATTTAGAATGTCAAGTGCCGTAGTGACTTGCTCCCAAGAACTGTTTGAGATTTCTTATTGGAGGAATCCTACTCTTTGCCTCTGTTGGCCCAGCAAAACTGTGGAAGAGCTCTGCTATCTAAATCCTAACCTTAGCCTTTAAAATCTTCAGTTTTATACTAGTCTGTTAATGCATATAATACAGATGACATTTGCTAAGGTGGAGGAGTGGTGTCAGGGGGAGAGTATCCTTTCAAACCAGCTTGAAGTTTGAATAGTGAGAAATGTTTTAGAGACTAAACAACCCATGTTAAATGCCATAAATTAGTCACAGTTTTGCGTATCCAGGGGCTCTTATGAAAAACGCAATCCTGGACCCAAACATTGTGTGCATGTCTGTCTTGCTTGGCCCAGGATTGCATTCCCTGCACAATGACCTAGTTGCTGTCATGCTATGGAACTCAGATAATGGTAACGAAATGAATCTCGAGGATGTAGCAGGAAAGGCAGAAGGGGGAAAAAAAGAAACAGAACACATCCTATTATGAAGATTAGCAGTTACACAGGGACATTGTGATCCAATGCCATTTGGTGATGGATTTTACAGAAGAGACTAGCTAGCCAGTCAGTCCGTGAAAGAAACCTGGATTTTCTTAGGGAGACATGTACCCATGAAACCATCCTCATAAACTCTATCACTTGTAAACCCAAAACAAAGCCTAACACCTATACCTTCTTCTTTACCTCCCAATTTAACTGTTTTCAGGCTTGTTTGAAAGATGTCTTTTAGCCATTTCTCAAACTGACTATTCACAAAAGTACCTGACCCTTCTAATACCTCCCCTAATACCCTCTCTTCAATGCTAAAGTATACCCCGTTTTGATCCCCAAAAACCTCATCAAAACTTCTCTTGATCTTGGACGACAAAACCCCCGTCATTTCTCTATCACGACCTTGATTTCGATCGAATACAAAACGGTTCTTGATCATATCAAGAAGCCCTTTTGGACTAAGGTGATCGGATGAGGTCTCACGAGTCAGATCACTTGAAATGGGGCTGAATTCCCCCGGTCTTCCCTTGCTTTCATCGTCTTCGGCGGCCTTCAGGTTGAGATCAAGGGTGTTGAAACTTGACTGTCTTGAGAAGTTTTTCTTCTTGTTTCCATTTTCATCAGGAAACCAATATGCATTTTCCTTTTCGTTGACTCTTGGAGAATTAGCCTTGCTTGAAATCTCCCACTCAGCTTTTCTCTTGTGGTCAATGTTGGGTGTTCCAAAACTAGCAGTTCTTGTTTCATTCACCTTCAGTGTCATCTTGATAACAGAATCATCCATCTTCCTGTCTTCATAGACGATGGAGTCACCCTTGGACATGATAAATATTACTTGGCTGCCATTTCCCCCTCTTTTATTACTTGATTCTCCAAATCTTTCAGTTTCAAATCCATCAGCAAGGAATTTCAAGAACTGTATATCAGCCAAATCTACATCTTCCACAAAAACTGCAAGTTTTTCTTGGTTTCTTAAGGTTCTTGCAAGCATTTCAGAATATGAGGTCACCTCATTATCCCTTTTCCTCATGTTCAAGTGTAGCAACAAATCAGCAGAGCCTAATACAGACTCCGAAATTGCAAGTGCCAATCTTCTTTTTCCAAGAGTGTCATTCCCTTGAATCAGTAACCAAGTGTCTTTTTCAGTTGACCTGGATTCAACCAAAGCATCCACTATTGAAGGAATAATTTCAGACTGCCAAGGGACATTCTCTTTCAGTAGTTTGCACAAATGATCACTTCTCCCTTTTTCCAGTTTGCCTATATCAGAGAACAAAGAATTACCAAGAGCAAGGGTGATCTTTACTTCCTTGCCTTCAGAATTCTTTAGAGAATCCAAGTTTGGTTCCTCTGGTTCATTCTTTTGAAAACCATTAACAAAGTTGAACTCAATATGGCATGATTGCTGTCTTCTAAATTTAGGCACATTACTGGAGCTGTAGTTAGGTTTCAAAGCTGAATCGGCAAAGGAGATTGAATTTGAATCTGGGAAGAAGCTGTTTTGGCTTGGCCACCAAGGATATGATGAAGCAAATGAGTAGTTTTTTCCAAGCATGCTTTGATTGTTGAATAGAGTAGAATTCAAATTGCTTTGCCTTCCTTGGTGTTGTAGGCTGTGGCACAATCTGTTCCATTTTCTCCTCAACTCAACCAATTCATCCTGAAAATTTAACTAAAGGTTTTAAATAGATCATCCAGTTGATACATCCAATATATATACATTCTGTTTTAAAAAACATGTTGAAACAAAAATCCCTCATCTTTTATTACCTTTTGATTGGAATTGGTGCCTTGAGGTTGAAGCCAAGGAAGTAAATGTTTCTGCTGTCCTGATTTAAGCAATTGAACTTCTTTCTCATAATTAGAGGTGCATTCTTGACAACAAGTGAATTTATCCTGTTCCTCCTTGCCATTATTAATGAGTGGTTTTGTTTCTAGCACATGAGATGGGTTATCGGAGATGCTGCCAATGGCAAGTTCGTTATACAAAATTCATATTAGTAAACACATATAATCAAGTTCAGGTAGGGCAGACGCAAAGTGGACAATACAAATGCAGAGCAGTATACTACTACTATCTTGTCTAGGGCCAATAAAAATTTGAAACACTCATGTAATAGTAATGTTTCAAGGTTGTTGGAGTGTCAAAGTTTTAGTTCTCCCTCCCCCAATCTGTGTCTGTATTTGTGTGTGGTTGTGTTTTGAACTGAGCATTATGAAAATATAGTGGCAAAAATGGAGTCAGTGCTATAAGAATTAAAAAGACAACAGAAAATAGACATGTCAGAAAAGGAAGGGTTGATTAGAAAATGGAGGTCCAGAGTAGACTCTATCAAGTATCGACTAAGATCTTTGTTCAAAATGGATGATTCCTACCTATATATTCTTTCAAAGAAATAAAGACTGATCAAATTTGAAGTCACTGATCATCAAAAAAGTAAAACAAATGCAACCTTGAAAACCCTTCATTTTTCCTTCTTCCCTTTTTTTTTCTTCTAATGATTCTGCTATAGGAAAAATCTGCAATGTGCAGTTGCTGCATGTATCCTGACAAAACAAAGTAACATAAGGACAATGATTCATATCTGTGATCTGTCTCACCACCAAACCATACTTTTCACAGTGGTTTTGGCCTCATTCAGACCATAAAGGTATGCACAGCACGAAAAGTACAAAAACAAATAAAGCTTCAAGAAATTGATGACAATCAATGGGAAATTCATGCATCCAGATATAATAACAGGTATCAGACATGAATTAAACAAAATAATAATAACAACAATAGAGCAGGAGGTTACCTGGATGCATGGAGGCTCAAACCAAGTCCACCTGAAGGAACCGAGACAGCTTGAAGTGCCCATTGAATCTCAATAGATGGTCGTCTCATCTGGCACTTCATGTATGTTTGATAACTTGCAGTGGCCATTAACCATACTTTTGTGTTTGAGCTACTATATTCAGAGAGTAGCCTGCCAATTTCTGTGACTAAATGATCTACTGGACTATAACCGGATACCTCTCCATTAC